ATGTTGCGTTGCTTTGGTGGAGCAAGCAAATGAGCTTTCAAACAAACCTGGCTTGAGATGAACTGCTGCCATTACAATTTAGTTTTAATCCGGATGGAGTTCAGTGCCGTGAGCCAAGATATGCATGCTGTGCCACTGTGCAAAAAAAAGGCTGCAGCAAAGGGCACAGGCTACCAGAAATAAGCTGCATAAGCAATTTCGTGTCTGAATTAGAGGGACATTTTTGTTAGAAAGCAGCTCGGTGCAAACACATCTGCTAGGCACATGCTGTGAGTGTAATTGGCCACTGGGTTGCTTGCTATGTACAAGCCTAGGTGTGATGAGGGGAGGCAGCAGCAGAAATTATTTGCAAGCATTTCTGCAACCTTTTCCAAGCTCCTTCTAAGGAGCTTGAGAAATTTGAGACTTCTAAGGAGTCTCAAATTGKGTCTCTGGAGTCTGAGAACAATATCTTGGATGAGGTCTTTACAKCTTGCTTTCCATGGGAGCTGAAGCTCATGCATCTTTATCAACAGGCAGTGGCCAGGAATGAAACTTCCCCTCTGTACATGGTGGAGATTTTCCTATCCCCGAGGCGGGCAGTTCAGATCCTTGCTTGGAGTTTGCTGCAATGCTTCTTTCTGGGGAATTGCACTTGATTTGTGTGGTGACATACTCACAGCTTGACTTCTTTCCCGGTTCATTACTTGTTTCCTTTCCATTGGGCTGCCTTGGAGTTTGCAGTTATCTGACAGATTGTGGTGCTGGGCAGCACGGACYGGGTAAATTGTACATGGGAAGGCAAAATCTCTGCTTTTGGGGGGTACACAGGTCACCATTACCACTAAAGGAGCGAGAAGAGCTTTTGTTGTAGACTGAGTACATGGACTGAGTACACTSTTCCCTCAGTGAGGGTCCCTCATTCACATGAGAGGTACCACTATGACGGAAGGAAACACAAGGAAGCTGGAGGCACTTCCTTGTGAAGTAAGGGCCTCTGTGTCATGGCAAATGTGTAGTTTCATTGCATATGAAGATGCAGACTCTCTCTTGGCTTGTTAATGGTGCAGAAGGTCAGCATCAGGTCCCATGCTTGGGTAAGCCCATGGAAAGATTCACCTCATGCCATTATCATCAAGGTAGGGCCTAATTCAAGGCAATAGGTTACAAAAGTTTTTTGTCCATTGGTCTAATGAGACAGATTGTTCTTTTTGAGCTATATGCTACTATGACAGGGGGTTTTTAAAGGGTAGGGAGAGAAGAACTGAGAGTGTTGGCCCATTTGGACAGCCAGGGTGAGCTTCTTGGCTTGAAAACTGCTCCTGGAGGATGCACTTACATTGGATGAAGACTGTTTGAGCAAATGGTCCTTCATGTCCTCTCCTGTACTCTCCCAATCTTTCCTGAGCTCTGGGAAGCACAGGTTGAGCTGTGGAAATCTCTGTGGAACTTCCTTCAGGTCCAGATGGAAGTGGTGATATGGCACAAGTCACGTTTTAACAAAGATCTGGTGGGAAGTGATTTCTGTAGGTATTTTTAGTGAGATAACAAGTCTCCAGTGTATTGATATTCCTTGTAGAAGTCTGTATGGAAACCCTTTGAGACCTCATTCTATTTGTAACTACTAATTAAGGCTAATGGATCCTGTTAGAACATTAAGATTTCCCAAGAGGCCARAGGAAATGGGTTTTCTGGGATCTAGCAGATTTTTCAAAGTTTTGAACRTCTTGAAATGAAAGCTGCCTCCTAACAAATGTATCTTGGGAAAGACTTTGACATCAGTTGCATTAAGGAGACATCATCAAATAGGTTCCTGGAAAAGTTTATTCATTTTACAGCTCACCTAACTCTGTTCCTTTGAAGATGGAAACAGGGTTGGATTTCCAACTAATGTTACAGGGAAAAAAGAATCCTTTTACCTGGCAAACATTTACTGATTTTTTTTTGTTCCTAAAAGTGCATAAAAATAAGCAGCAATTTCTCCATTGTGCGTTATGCCTGTGCTTGCACTATGCCTGCTTTTTTGGTGTCTCTGAAAATATGCTTTGCTGCCTGTTCACGCACTGTGTGTTGGCTTTTAGGAAAGATATATGTATGATTTCCAGACAGCCAATGYGTCTCCTATAGTGCACCTACAACATATTTATAAAGCCCTTTGGCCTGGGCTGTTCCTCCCTTCCCAAAACAACAGTGTAACAAGGCAGATCCTTATACAAATACCATGTTTTATGGATAAGTGTGTATACAAGATCTAACACAGGAATAACACAGTTTGAGGGACTTGTGTTAATGATGCCCTTTAAAAAATATTTATTTCTATTGGCTGCAAAATGGAAAATAAATTGAGTGCAGGAGCTGTTTCTCAGTGGATTTTGTCCACTCTCCTATTCTTGCAGTGGTTGGTCAAATTTTGGCTACTGTCAGCTAGAAAAACTTACAGCTGTCCTGCTTCACCACCTTGATAGGCTTGACTTTGTACGTGCACAAAAAAACCTGCTTTSCCTCAACATTTTGTACGTTCATAATACTTTTCTATCTGTTTTTGATGCAATGCAATGATTCATTCAGAGTTCTGTGGCTTAATACATTATGGTAGTAGCATTTTAGCTCCTACATCACAGTCTATTTTTTTTGTTAATTTTCTTCAAGCAACTGCAGTTATATTAATGCTATAACTGCCTATTTCCTTTCTGATTTAATGTACCTATCCTCTGCTATCCCATTAGTATTAATAGGCACCCCGACACTAGGCGGCACACGAAAAATGTCATTTGATTGTTTGTGGCTTTCTCCGATGCATGCCAGCTTTGCTATATTGCCCTTTTCCAATGTGTTCGTTATTCTGTGATAACCTCAGCTGTCAGACTTGGTTTTTATCTCCTCTTCTTTTTGTGAAGCTAGAAGAGTACCTGTCAGCTCCAAGCTGAGTGTTTGCATTGCACTTCGGCTAACACAGGCTTCACTTACTTTACCCAGAGACTTGTGTATACGCTAGCACTTCACAGCAACCTGAGTCAGGTGCAACAAATAATCGACCTATTTTATTTCCACTGAAGTAAATGGCAGCATAGAGAAGCTCTGACACTTTTCTCTGAAATCTGCTGAAAGCTTTTTTCTTGGTTTTTTTTTTTTTGTTTTGTTTTTTTTTTCTGATAAACTCCCTATATGTTTTTGTATTTAATTCTCTCCTTGCTTTACTTGTGCTCCTCGGATATCTTTGTGCACATTACAGTGGAGGTGGCTGCTCGTGTCCCAGCTGTGTGACTATTCAGTGACTATTCATTGCCATGCTGGAGATGGCAGCATAGAGAAGCTCTGACACTTTTCTCTGAAATCTGCTGAAAGCTTTTTTCTTGGTTTTTTTTTTTTTGTTTTTTTTTTTTTTTCTGATAAACTCCCTATATGTTTTTGTATTTAATTCTCTCCTTGCTTTACTTGTGCTCCTCGGATATCTTTGTGCACATTACAGTGGAGGTGGCTGCTCGTGTCCCAGCTGTGTGACTATTCAGTGACTATTCATTGCCATGCTGGAGATGGCAGCACAGCCTTCACAGCACCAACTAACTCCTTCCTCAGCCCTGTCCCCACTCCGAGCTCTCTTCTACTCACCTACCTATTTGAGGTAAGTGCCTGGGACACAATAAAACCAAATATAGACTCTACTCAGGGCATGCCAACAGTAAGGAAATCTTGCTTTTTTCTGTCTTTGATTTATCCCAACTTGGTTTTCGTCTGTGCTAGTGTGCAGAGACTGAGTGGGTAAGAGCAACGGGACAGTGGCTCAAAACTTGATCACGTTGGTGTCTGCCTGGATGTGTATTGGGGTGTCTGATTSGGTTTCTGCTGGGGTCCATAGGAAGCAAAAATTGTGCTGGAGTGAAAGGAGGAGCTTTGATCCATAAAATCCCTGAAGGGTTGGCCTTGCTTTCTCCGTGCTCTCTCATGGAAGAAGGTCCTTCCTGAGGACCACAGTCCTCTTAGACAGCACTTGTAGTAAGGAAGATTGGAAAACAGGAGTAAAAGAAGACCAGTGGGGAAAAAWGTGGCAGGAAAGSCTATAGSTAATGGACGGGTTTTTAGCTGCTGYCTGGTASATCAGCATGACATTTGGCTTGACCTTTGGCTTTTTTTTTCTGTTTTTTGGTTATTTTGGTCTCTTGGGTGAAAAGATGTGGAAATCCAGCTGCTCTGTACATAAAATCTGCAGTTGCCTTTACAATATTGTCCTTTAGGTTCTCAGAGGGGAAAGGAGCACTGTTCCACTGTGGCATTTCATGTCTAAGGCAATATTCTTTGGTGGCAGGATTTCTTGATTTCAGTATGCTAAGGCAATAGTTTTTACTAGCTCTGCTCTCTTCTCCCAGCTTATGGAAACATGGCTCAGCCTGAACATTTGCTTGTAAAAATACAGTTATTTGCATTTTTTTCGTTGTAAGAACATTCCTTAAGTCTGGAGGTAAATGTTGATCTGTTTTGATAGCTTGGGTGAAGCGACACATGGACACTATGAAGATTCACTGTTGAGTGGAAAAAAACAGCAATCGCTCCACCTTTACTTTCATGTAGTTTGAACAACCTAAAGTATATCCTGAACTAGCAAATCTTATAAGAAAAGTAATTTAAAAATACATCGTACATATAGTGTATATCTTACATATTAGAAATCTACAGATCTCCATGTGCTTTCAGTCGATTCAGATTCATTTCCTAAGTAGGCTGAGTTCCTAATTTTCATCAATCCTTGCTTAAGGCCACAAACAGAGTTTCTCTTGTTTCTTTTACAACGTTTAAATCTTTTTTTTTTTCATTTTTTTTTCTCTTTTTTTTTTTTTTCTTTTTTTTCCACACAGCACCTTCCCCTTATTTCTAAGGCGAAGACTCAAGCAGGAGCAGGCATCCTGATTTATACTGGCTCGGCACAGGCTGCAACAGGCTGCACACAGCTCTGGAGGATTAGGAAAGCACATAGTCATAAGTTGGCCTAGCATGATACAGCTCGGAGGTGTCACAGAACGGAGGGCTCCTCTTTGGGTAAAAAAGGACCCCTTTCTGGTCATGTTCCCCGTTTCGGTGGCCTGTGACCTTCATTGCCTTTCTAACCTGCTTGGTTTCATTGGGCTCATCTCGCTCTTCTTTTCAGATGACTTCACGCGATGGTGCAGCAGCCACGATGGTGGCACTTCGCGCAGCGCTTCTTCTTCTTCTTGGGGTGGAAGATGGTGAGGATTGCTTCGTCGAAGACKGTTTTAAGGCCTTTCTGCGTGAGGGCTGAGCACTCCAGGTAGCACTGAGCTCCAATCTTAAAGAGAAAAGAGAAAATGTGAGTCCACATAATCTTGTTCCAGCACCTTTGTCCATGCACACGCTGCCTGCCCAGACCTTTAAAAACAAGTCCAGGTCCTATCTCTGTTTCATTTATGATTGCCTAAGTGACTGAGGGACAAGACCAGGTCACCCAAGAGAGGGAGCGGGAGATGCACCCGTATGTCATCACAGGAGCAAGATGTGGAGCAGGAATTCCCAGCCAACCCTTCAGGTCACTGTCTGAGCACCTCCTGGGCCAGGAGTTGGGCCTCCTATCCACATAACAAWGGCCTTTGAGGAGGTGCTGGCTGAGGGTGGGTCGGTAATCGATCACTGTCTGAGTCCCTTGTCTCTTCTCCKGCCCTGTGAGGAAGGTGTAGTAGCACAGAGACCTTCCAAGGCCTTTCKAGACCTCTGTGCTACTACAAATTGCATGGTTGAGATAAACAAGAAGTGAGATAAATGAGAAGAGTAAATGAGAATCGAGTTGTCGGTGTTTTTGTAAGGGATACCTCTGTCCCKGTGCTATTGCTACCAAGCATGGGGAAATGCACTTAGAGGCTGTTAAATCAAACATAAGCATATGAGATGCTATTGATGCAAATGTCTCATTTAGGTAGGAAACAGGCTGCTGTGGTTCCTATACTCGGTCACCGGTTGGTGGGATTTAGGAGCAGCTCACAGTTTCTCAGCAGCATAAGAAAAACTGAATATTTGCYTTTCCAGCCTCTATTTTTCCACCACCCCAGAGTAAATAACCAAGATTGCAGTATTTCCCAGGGCTTTGCCTAGGGTAAGGTAGGCAGTGAAATTTGCTACCCCTTTGCAGCCTGTTGTCCCAGGCACCTTGCTTCTTTGCCTATGGCTTGTCAGGATGCTCAGGAGTTGCATCCAAACCCAGTGAGTCCGAATGCACACCGTGGTCTCTGGGACCAACCAGGGACCYCGGAGGAATCCATCATTAGCAAAACAAAACATAAACCAACATAAAGCCTGGATGAACTGGTCTCACAAGACCTCAGAAGAAGACGTTACCTCTTTGGCTAGCTTCACTCCGTGCTCGTAAGTGAGGGGTTTCTCCTTCATGTAAAGCAGCCGAGCCAAAGTTTTGGGATCATCACGAAGATCAATCTGGTAAAAAATACATAGGTCTTGTACTCAACACCGCCTTGAGGTAATACTTAAAACACAGCCTTGCAAACCCACAGGCTCCTTCTGCCCTCCTGAGTTCAGAGGATACTTCAGAAATGGACATGTGTTTTCCATTTGTTTTCATATATATTTTCTAGTTAACATGACTTAGTTTTACTTAATTGGTTATTGGCCTCTTTAGAGGCCACAGCTCAGATACTGCGGTATAGTAAAGACGTGGCATCGTGCTTCTTCTCAGTGCCTTGTGCAATGCCATCTTGGAAAGAGCCTGGAAAAACTTGGGCTGTGTTATAAAAGGAGGTTGCTGGGATCCTGCACTGCATCAGACATAAAATACTGTGACAGACCGGACAGATGCAGCTCAGGATCTGACTGGCTTGAAACAAAATCTTTTATTTCTATGGGAAAAATCAAAGTGAAACATTCTGGCATTTTGAACCYACCCATTTTCAGAGTATGTTCCAACAAATAATACTAATACTTTAAAATGGATGTTTTAGATTATTACAGCATGGAAAACAAAACCTGTGTTTGAATGTTTAGACTTTCCTCCAGCATGAAGATCCTGGTTCTGATCAGGACTTGATCTGTTTCACTAACTTGGCTTCAGTTTCTGTCCGATGTGGTAGTGTTTGGACATTTCCCAGAGCACAGTATCTGGGAAAACTTGGAAAACTGCTATACTGGTCTCTGGCCACTCTGTGTCTTGGAAACAAGTCCTTGTTTAAAGAATTCTTGATTGATTCATTCATAGGTTTTACGGCCAAAATAAAATGTTTTGATCGTTTAGTCTAATAGAGCACAACAAGGATGGTGACTTAGTTGCTGCGGTGTTGATCTGAAGAATGAGGGAGGCTGTTTCCTGCCCATGTCTCTAAGTCGGTGGAGTGGTTAATTGTTCTTAAAACTTGGTTTGAGGTTTGGTTCTGCTTCTAAGCCATAGTCTTGAGTACATATATATATTTTTATCCCATGGAAGGCCTGTCAGAATTCTTTTCTCCCTATGCATATTTGCTCTTTGGTAGCATAAGAATATCCACTTGGGTATAAAAACAGGGATCAGCTATGTCACTGCTGATGTGCATGGTGGGACACCTGCATGCTGGCTTCCATTCACAATCCCTGATTTTCCCTGATTATCAAGCTCGGCTGAATTCCGCATGGGAAGTGGAAGAGCTGCTCCCCCAGGCCCATACCTGCGTTCCTATGAGCACGTAAGGCACGTTGGGCATGCAGACCTTCAGCTCGGGAACCCACTCCTCYTGGACGTTGTGGTAGGAGGCAGGGTTCACCACGGAGAAGCAGATGAGGAAGACATCCGTGTTGGGGTAGGACAAGGGTCTCAGCTGGTTGTAGTCCTCCTGCCAGAGAGGGAAGGYGAGTGCGTGAGCGAATGGAGAAGTGCAGAGCTCTTCATGGACAGGGCAAAAGGGCACGTTGGATTCGTGCCTGTGGCCCATGTGTTATTTGTGGTGATGATGATGGTGAGGTGGGTAATGATCAACTCAAACAGCCACCGTCACTGGTGGCCTAATAAAAAATGGCATTTGGGTGAAAATCAATCTTGAGGTTGTGTGTGTGCTTGCCTCAGCCGTCAGGCAGCACGAGAGTGGCCTATGAAATGTTATTTGTCTCTCACTGCTAGCAAATATTTGCACATCTAGAGATTTTATGTTAATATTAGGGATGTCATTAATATTAGCAACGTCTTCTCATTGTAGTTGAGAAGAGGGTGGATTTTCTACCAGCTGGAAGAGCATCCGTGCTGGGCAGTGAACTGCCTTTGACCGCTGAGTTTCAAGCAAGAACGTGGGTCCCTTTTCCGGCTGGAGATTTAGGGAGCGAGGAGAGGTGTTGCAAACTGTGTGAACTGGGGACCGGCCTCCAGTGAGAGCACATGGAGCTGCAGCTGGTTGGTAATTTTCTGCTGCAACTTTTTTTCTGCCTGTCAGAAAATTTCAGCACAACAAGACAGATGCTTGTAGTGGGGATACACCTGTTTGGAGCACTCTGTTTTTTTTTTTTTTTTTGAGAGGTTCAGAATTAAAAAGGGGGACAGAAGCACAAAGTGGGAGGGTAGGAAAGCGTAATTCGGCGTATTGTCAAACTTACTCCAAGATGGGCCTCTGGCTTAGAGCTGCAGTACTCCTGGCAAKCCTCTAAAATCTCAGCAGCACCAGCAGTGCTGGTCATAATTGTCAGAGACTTCTGCCTGGGCAATTTTGCTTTACTAATAAAGAAATAGTGGATAGTCTGAATTTGAGATGGGGAAAAGGCTAAGCCTCCCCGAAGGAGAAACCAGAGCAAGATTATGTCACCATGTACCCATGTTAGGTTCGGCATTGCTTCTGTGTTCCCTTGGTTGAATCAACAAATAAGAAGGCTTTAATTACTAGAAGTTGAGCTGAACAAAGGCTTTTTTTTCAAAATTTATTGTTCACTAAGTGGGCAATTTTAAGGTGACCCAAATGACTTTTGGATAGACAACTTGTTTCTGGAAAATAATAACAAATTATGTCAACACATTTTGCCCCAAACTTTTCAAAAAAAGAAAAAAAAAGTTATTTCTGGGGGAAATTTAAGAAATATCTTAAACTACAAACAAAATATTTTGAATTGAGTGTCTGGAGCAGTATGACAGGCAAATCCACGAACTCATTTGCTGAATGTCCCTTCTCCCAGAKTCACTTCCACAGGAAGACTATAGCTCCAGTTAGCGCCTCCAGCCTCAGACCCACAGCAGTTTGCAGCCCTAACTGCATTATTTCCCAACGAGCTCTGTACAGTTTGTTTGATGATACTTTTCTGACTAGGTTAGTTAAAAATCATTCTCTTTGACCCAGCTCTGTGCAATAGTGCAAATTTTCATGTGGGGCAATTTCATTTGACAGAGCCTTGTCCRGGACGTGGGTCCTTCAGTGAGGATTTTCCCTCGATGCATATTCCAATATAGCTCTGTACATTGAGCAAATTCAGTAATACAGGTGATCTAGGCCATTTTTTAAAAGTTGACTGGCCCAGTGTCTTTTCAGCGGCAGAGAATGCATTGACTTGAAGAATGATTTATATGACAAGAGCATCTGAAGAATGATTTATATGACAAGAGGAGGTGTTTGGGCTTATCAGCTTGAGAAAGAGTGGTACTCCATGCATGGGAAGCAACAGGAAATGAAAATTGAGAGGTGGGACCCGGAGCGATGCAGGCAACGCGGAAGGGGAACAGGCAGAGGAGGAGATAACACAAAGGTAGGAGGTGACACCTAGCTCCTGGCTGGTGAAGTAGGGGAAACAAAGCAGATGCCAAGAGAACGGGATTGAAGGAATTATTACATTATACTAGCAGGGGAGGTTTATGTGGATGCTGCGGGTGAGGGAGGCCTGGCATTATGCCTCCCTGATTAGGGGATGTTATTTTAACTGGAACATCGAAGCCTATGACTTCTCTAAGATTAAGTGTGCTTGCACCGCAGGGAGCATGGGCTGATACCAGGTGCTTGGCATTTTCTGTGTTTTTGGCGTAATCTTTACAAACCAGCCTCCTGAAACAGCCACGCGGTGGCAGCAGACCCTCGAGGAATTGTTTGTGGGGTTTTATTTTTGAAGGAAGGGATCGGCTAAATACATCCAATTTCAATATTTCAGATACGCTCGTCTAGAGGGRCTGTTAAAATTACACACTCAAAGCCAGGAGCAGCGCTCTGCCTGGTGGCAGCAGCTGCTTGCAGAGGCGCTTGTTTGGTTGCATAATTTCATTTTTGCCCGTTCCTTGGGTGCTCCTAGCAAATCCTTTCCGGGGAGGAGCGTTCCCGGGCGGTGCTGGCAGCATGGAGAGTTATGTAAGTGATGGGGAGGGTGAGGTGCTCATGGCACAGGGGAGCACGACAGGGCCCCAGGCCGTAAACATCATGCCCAAGAGCAGAGCTGGGGCTCCCGTGTCATCCCCGTCTCCCTGGGCTCCAGGGAATTTCCAGCGATATCGCATGAGGTTCCCATCCCTTCTAGCATCTGCTCCAGCATGAGGCTGGTAATGGACCCTGTTGAGACAGGACCCGCAGGGATCATCTAATACTGGTGAGCTGTTGAAGCCGAGCAGCCTGGCAGCGCTCGGCACAGAAGTGCAGCAGAACTTGTTTTCCTTAAGCTGCTGCTGATCCCTGTCCCTGCTTCTCTTCCTGCCGTGCCAGCCCTTTAAAGCACTCCACACCTGAGTCCAGCTTGGGGGAAAAAAAGAGGCTTTCCTTCCCCTCCTCCTAAGACTTCTTGTGCCAGGGATGCAGAAAACCAGATTGCCCAGGTCTGGGGTCTCTGCCAGCTCTCCCTTCGGGCTAACAGAGGGTCCTGCTGCAGGAGTACATTTTCCAATTGTTCTTGCATTAGCATATGTTTTATAGCATAGTAATGTCAAGTGCTATTTTGGGCTATGACTTCACGCTAATGTCTCTGGAAAGCCACGCAATGCAAGGAGAAGGCGGGAGGAAACAACCCAGATGATCTGTCATTGTAGCTGGAGCATGTGGGAAGAATCAGACTCCATGGAGATACAATCTACTCATCACAGGGTGATTCATGCACTGAGTTTTGCCTAGATGACCATGTTGTCTGGACTGAGATGTGGCCCTGACAAATTAGGGATATCACTCAAAAGCAGGTGGTGCCTTGGCTAATTTGAGGCAGGAGATGGCAAAATGATTGTCAAGGAACARAGGGAAGAGTGAAGTGTGTCAGAGAAACAGATTTATGTTTCTTTGYGCTCAAGAAGGAAATAAGAGGATGCATTGCTGAGGGTGGCAGGTGGAACAGCCATACAAAACAAATTAAAATATGACAGAGCACTGAGTATAAGCTAGTCTCATTTGCAGTGGTTGCATTACTCTTGAATCGTGGCAGATGCAAGTGTGTGTTGAGCTCTGTGTGTTTTAAGACCTATGGCCTGTATAGGCAGAGTAGATAACTGATAGAGATAACTGAACACCTGTGCAGTACAAGGACTTGGGTCATATTTTGGGGTGGACTTTTAGATCACCTGCGTGGAACATGTAAGTAGAAAGGGTGGTTGGACTGTGATGAATACCAGACTACCATGAAGTTAACCATGGCTGCCCTCTGATAGGAATAAATGCAAAACAAAAGGCAAAAGGGCCCCAGTCCTGTCAAATGTAGATTTGTTTTTACGGGTGGCCTGTCCTCATGCAGTTTTTGACTTGGTACAAGCTATATCTTGTAACAAATAACAAGTTATATCTTGTAATGAATAACTGCAAGCACTGGGGTCTCCTCCTGCACTCTTCATGCCTGGTGTGGCAGACTTGTAGACAGGAAAGTGACCTGAGAGCAAAGCCTGGCACCCAGAGCTGCTCTTTCCCAGGAGGGCAAAGAAGTTCCCCAGACCTCTTCTGTTTCCTCTTCTGCTCTAAGCCCTACCATCTGCAACCCTGTTCCCTTCCCTCTTGGTAGCCCATAGACCAGAGGTCTTTGCAAGCTGGTTGTGGTACCACACTGCATCAGCCTCTGGGCAGTGGAAAGGGTAAAATCCTTGTAGATTGTGCTATATAAGTTAGTGTTGGGAGTAGAGGCTGCTATAATTGACGTTCTTGTCCCGGCAGGGGGATGCTGAGATGGATGCCAGTCTGCTGCAGTTACCACTTAAAAAGTCAATAGCTGTTGACTGATAGCCTGATGCTACATTATATTAGTTTTCTGGCCATGGAAGCAGGAATATTTCACTGTATGTCTGATGCCAGCATGTGGTAACTGCAAGAAAACACTGACTTTCTATAAAACATGGTACCTGCACTATGGGTTGGATGTATGGATAAAARACAAGCTAACCAGGCTTTATTTTTTGATTAAGCAGATGCTTAGAGGGATAGGGAGGAAAAGGAGCGTGCCAACATGTGCCAGGATGATGACCAGCTTCTGCTGCAGATGAAAGAAGGACACAGCTTAATTTATTGCTCATGCTCAGCACAATTAGAAACTTTTAAATGCTTTGCAGTAATTTACCTGCCCTGCAGTGTCATAAAGTCCCAGCAAGTGCTGTTGTCCTCCTACAGTCACAGTTACTGAAAGAGAGAAACAGAGAGAGGCCGGTTATGAGAGTGCAAAAGAGAAGATTCGTTTTGGTACTTCTCCATATTCAGATGCTGATCCGTGCTTCCCAAACCAAGCTGATTCAGCCCCWAATGAGAGCAACCTGAAGTCACAACAAAAGCTGTATGCTGAGCTCTTATTTCTTAGCAGAGAAGTATTTCTTAGCAGCCAAGTCAGATGAACCACCCAAACTGCTGCTACTCTGATATCCAGAGACCACAGGACTTTTGCTTATGTCTATGCAGCCACCATCTGATCCCACTCGGTGCTGGAAATCCCAAGGAAATGGTTCCTGTCCCACCCTGCGCCTGCTGGAGTATGTCTAGTTTTGATTCTCTCAGAGGGCTTTTTATTATTGTATTTGTTCTGGGTGGTGAGGCGTTAGGAAGTGGGTGGTGTTTGAGTGGTCTTGGTGGAGCTGTGTTGCCTCCCAGGCCATCTGCCCTTTCAGCACGTGGGGCCCTGTATTCACAGGTGAAATGGTAGCTCTTAGTTATGTATGGTGGGTGCTTAGAGGGATGGAGAGGAAGAGGAGTGTGCCAACATGGGATGGGATGTTGAGCAGGTTCTGCTGCAGATGAAGGAAGAGCACAGCATGRTTTATTGCTCATGTTCAGCACTGCTTTAGCACAGGCCACCTTGAGCTTCACAAAATGCTCTCATTGCTTCCAGTTGAACCCCTCTATTAGCTGATCTCTGTAATCTTATCAAGGATATGATCTGTGTTAATGGCATTTTGTTGACCAGTTAATCTGCTTAAATCATTATTACTCAGCTGGAAAGAAGAGGAGGGATTCCAGTTCCACTCATCACTCGATGGGAAGACTTTAAACGTTCATTGGGAAACTCATTCAGAATAACAGCATTCCCAGGCTGCGATTAGTTTTAAGGCACACAGGCAAASAGTTTGTATGAGCACAGAGCTGTAGCTGGAAGAGGCTAAGACTGGCATCTATTGACAGATCACAACCTGCAATTAATGAGATCTGAGAAAGATTAACACTACATTTGGCAAATAGGAGGCTTGAAAACATCACACAGGTTCTTGCTGACTTTTTTTAAGCGTTAAGACTTAATGAAGAAAAACATCTACCTGGCAGTGGAAACTAATAGTCACTATGTTGCAGAACTAAATCCTGCTCGAAATCTCTTAGACTTAAAGTCTCTGCCAGTGAGATTGGACAGATTGATTATTCAGCAGCTTTACGGGCTTGTAAAGCAGTCTGGTAATTTTGCCAGTGTATAACAAGGACAGGATTGACATGCTGAAAGGCTCAGCGAGGAGCAGACTTGCTGATGAGAACAAGACAGGTCACTCTCGCGTGACTGTCAGAGCGGCCTTGGCTCCAGCACAAGTGAGACACAGGGGAAAGAGGTGATGGGAATGGTGACCAAGAGTCCTCTTCCCATTCCTGCCCTTGGGAGGTCTCCCATACACAGTGTGGCTCTCACAAGACCTTGAAAGGGGGGTAGCTCTTGAGTGTGGAGGTAGAACAAATGCTTGGGGCCTGTGGGTGGAAGAGCCTGGGGAATGGGGTAGCCTGAGGGAAGGGGTGCAGACACAGATGGAAACCAGGCGAAGGCCTCATTGCCTTCCTTGAACCAGACCCAGACTCCCAACTTGAACTAATCTGAACTAAGTCCCCTCAGCATGCTGATTTTCATCTTCTTGTGATGTATGCACTCTGAAAAATGTCCCAGTGGAGGTATGAACAGTGTGGAACAAACTGATGGTAGGCTTGCCTTTCTTAGCTCTCTTCTAAGCAGCAGTCTGTGGGCCACTCTTTGTTCTGCGCTGGTTACTAGAGGTATCCCTCTCTTYTACCCTAATCTCAATATGTGTGTGTTGTTTTTTTTTCCAGTTGCTACCTCTGGTGACCCTTCAACCTACCCCTACGTGAAGAGATGCAGGAGTCAAATCCTTTCTGTTCATTTACCCTATTCAAGGACSAGCCATGGCATGATGTATCCTTCACTGAAGACAATTTTCCAGATGCTCTGTGTCATCCATACACTTCTCAGCTGGCCAAGGTGGAGTTTGGGAATATACCAAGTTGGCCACAGGTGAGCATCACTGAAGCTGTAAGCTCTTCATTTAGTTTGTATGGAGCTTGCAGAATGGTGCAGGCAGCCTCSAAAGCAGGGTGCTTGTATGGCAGCTCTGTGGCACATGCAGTTGCTGATGATCTAATGTGCCAGATGAATAGAAAGAGGCACTTGCTATACTCCAATGCTGCACAGTTACCCAGCTTCATCTCTCATGCTGGCTGATGGCTCAGCACAGGCAGACTGAGCTTGATTCTGCTTGCAAAAGATCAGGTCAGGTCTTCAGTGTTTTAAAAATTTAAAGATCACMCTAAAATTTCCTCTATTCAGGCTCAATATTTTTCTGTAAAGTTTTGCTGGCCCATTCCATGGTGGCATCTGAGTGACAGAGCTGCACTGGCAAAAAGCCCTGATACAGATACAAATTGCTGCCTTGTTCCAGGAGGTAATAGGACTTGGAGATAGGCCGCCTGGATAGAAGTCCAATCTATATCTCAAACATGCTCTGGCACCCGGGCACACCGTAACGCTTCCTGAACCATTATCTGTGCTCTGCAGTCCATGAAGTCATGGTAAATATTTCACAGCAGGTCTGTGGAACCACTTTGAACAGTTATATTGATAGTTTGTACAGCTCAGTTTGGCTCCAGGTGCTCTGCAGCAAATGCCAGGGTGGGATAAAGAGGCCAGTGGTTTTCTAGCATTACTCTCTGTATTTATGGGCTAAAAAACGTAAGAGGTTTTGAAAAATACACTCCAAATCACAATTGCTTGCCCAGCACAATAGCACAGCACCCTTTCTCATATTGGTTCTGCAGTGAATTATGTGGAGTACCAACCATTTCACTCTTGTTCTCTTTTTTTTTTCCGCCATCAAGCTTTGAATTTTATTTCTTTTTGTTTGTTGTGCCAATATATTTCATCATCTGACAGTACCCTGGCTGCACATATCGGTTCTCCACAGCTTACAACTATCACCCCCTGAAAACTATTTTGTTAGCATAACTTTGGCTACAGGCAAACTGCTCTATTTGGATTTCTGGTTCTGAATATAGAGGGAACCAAATGGCCCGCAATGACAGTTCAAATAACTGCTGGCACTTGTAACAATGACGTCTAGATTAATGTATTAGTGCTGAAGTCTCCACCACATATTCATGTAAGCAAACCAGATGTCAAAATAAATAACTCTTGCCTGTGAAAACATCATAGGGTATTTAATGTAAGGGTTTATCAGTCCAGCTTTGCCAGGCAAAAAACTACTCAGTATATCCACTTAGTTGGCCAAATTTGTGAGCTGATTTTGCTCTGCTAGACTTACAGGCTTTACTTTTGGCTTTGTCTATGTTTATGTTTTCTTACCCTGTTACTATCTCCTCTTCTCTCAGGGGCCAGTCCTACTGCAGGCTGGTGTGGATGTCCTTTGCTGCCACTGCGGGTAACAGAGGCACATTTACAGGCTAGTGAGCCCTAGCTTTATGAGCAAGCTTGGAGTAATAACTTATAAATTGTCCAGTCGTCCTTGTTATTTACTGGCTGCTGTGCAAAGGCACGTGGAGGTGGCTGGTGTGCCCAGTTTCCCAATGCCCCTCCAAGACCAACTTCTTTTGCTCCTGCATATGTTTGTTGGGTGAATCCCTAGCTGAAACTATAACTGAATCTGATCAATGTTTCAACTGCTGATCAGGTACTAAGGAGGACCATTCACTACTAATGAGAAATAAACTAAGCAATATTTATTTATGGCTTTGAGTTAAATTCTGTGAATAATTGTTTTAAAATAGGTGTATGTTTTATGTATAGAGCTTGGACATAAGCTGTTTGGATAGAAGTCCAGTGCTCCACGAGCAGGGTATTTTATATATACATGTGCATTTTATATGTAAAATACATTTATGTATGTGGATTCTTTTCCAGTTTCTAGTTAAACAAAATATTTAGGTTGCTGTATGAAATGTTTAGCTTTGATTGGGGCATCTTAACTGTGTACAGGACACACAGAAAGAGGAAAGGTTAAAATTCACCAGGGAACATAGGTGTCATTGGTGAGATAGTGGAAGACGGATCCATACACTGGGGCAGGGACAGGAGCCATGGTGTTACTGTGGAGGTGACYGCCTGACTTCTGTCTCCTCTACCTTCTCCTCTGCAGGATGATGAGTTGTCCTGGAAAACGATGGAAGAGCTTCAGGGAGAGGCATGACCCGGACCTGCCAAAGGGACTGGAGCAAATGCCAAGGAGGTGAGAACCGAATCTCCCACTTTTCAAGTCTCAGTCTCTGGAGAAGCTGATGCCCCTTTTTCTTTGTGAATATGCCCTAAATCCACATGTGTCATCAACCTGTGAAACTAAGRCTTTTCAGCAATGCCAGAATTGTTCGTTCCTAGCTTCTCCCCCACGTTCTTTACTAGAAGAAATTTGGAGAGTGCAGAGCCCTCTCCTGCTCACAGGCTTCTGCTGCTCTCTGGCACTCACCCCAGGCAGGACAGCAGTGCTCTTGTTGGAGCTTGTTTGTAGAAAATTACTTTAAAAATCCTGTTTATAGTCCCATTTCTTTTCCTATGGCAAAACTGCTAAATGAGGGTCTCCTTGGCTGATATGTCAGGTAAAACCTGTTAYGGTCCAAGCAGGGACTGAAACCCAGTCACATCTTGGAGGCATTTAGGTTTCTAATTCCCTTTAGGTCTAGTAAGAGTCAGGCACTAGGTGGTGACCCTTGAGACTGCATGTCCCTGGTTTAAGTAAACAGCAGCACCACTATTCAATGAGAATACAAAATAATTACAGGTAGTACATTTTTTTGCAGCACCTTTTGCCTTTTAAATGCTTCAAGTGCATTTGTGCATCCCATTTTGTGTCAAATTCTTGTTAAAAAAAAAAAAACTTTCTCTGGCTGCTGCAGGTGAGGAAAACAGACATGGGGCT